ACTGTATTTGATTACTGAAGCAAAACTGACTCTGCTGGTGCAAAGTAATGGCACTATTTTATAGTGAAGCATTTGCTCTTCCACGAAGGAAAAACCTTGCAATCAGCAATGAAGGTTACAAAAGATGCAGCCTGCAAGTCAGAAGTGTCCTATTAGCACCAATCAAGGTGATAATTAAGAACAGATTTCTGTAAGGAGGGGGTAGGCTCTTAGGGGACTTCACAAAGTACTGAACTTCATGCACATAATAAGCAGTTCAAAGTACTCTTACTTTATTAAGAACATGCTGAAAGTGACTAAAAGTAAGGTGTACTCTTGCATACATAAGTATCTTATTTTGTTAGGCTAACCCTGTGCAACAGAAAAAATTGGCCTACCCTCACATATATTAAGGATGAAGGAATTCAGCAGTTTTTTGTTGTTGAGGATTTTTAAGGGTGGGAGTATTTTGGGTTGTGTTTGGTTTTTCTGTTTTTGCCCCCAGAATTGTTCATAAATTCATTTAGGAGAACAAAAATCGAGATGAAGACAACATTCTTTATACATTCAAGGTTTCAGTTCACTAAAAGCTTTCCAGGAAACTAGAGTAACATTTCACATTTCAGGCACTACAGTTTTCCTTCAACTCATTCTTGCTGGTTTTTACTTATTCATAGGTCTGTCAAGCAAATTCAGCAGAGTATCAAGCAAAACATGCACATCACAAATACCCTCTCTCATAAAAAGACAATCTCAATCTCCATAGATGTCAGCAAGTACTCATAAAAACAAATTAAATAAGCCATGCTTACACACCTAAATGTGTATTACCCTCTACCTCTTGCACCTTGTGTGGTGTCTATTGGCAATTGATTCTTTTTAGGCAGGGAAAGCAAAAAACAATTAAGTTATGAATAAGACCAACAATACATTCTCTGCTTCACACACATGCCCAGTTCAAGTTAAATTGTGAACAGATGGAAAGGAAAACATTCTCATATATTTCAGCTTCACCACATTCCTCAATATTTTTCTAGATCAATAAAAATACACTTTTTAAAAATTAAAATGTTTAAAAGTATAAGCTATTTCCAAATAGACAATCTTTGATATTTAGCTTACTGACTCGTTTCCCTTTGCCACCTCATTGATTGTGGCATAATTCTTACTGGACAGCAATTCACTATGGGCATTATTTGCAGACAGTTAATTTTCTCTTATGAAATCGATTTCAGTAATTTTACTTTCAGCATTTATAAAGGTTATTTCTTACCTGTATATTTGCTAGGTGTGACTCCCAATTTTCCTCCTACAAATGAGGTATTTTCCAGTTCTCATGAGCTTTCCACAAATGTTGCTGTAAAGGTGTCTAATCTGCAAGGTGAGGGTGAGATATGCTCTATAAAACAAGGTTTTTACACTTGCACAAATAAATAAGTGATTTCTTTTTTAACAAAGCAGGCAAATGAATCTGAACTTATTTGAATCCACTAAAGCAGTGGAGGAAATCTCCACCATCTTCAGCCACAGCATTTCCCCAACAGCTCCTCTTCACCTTCTCTATCCTCTTTCCTAGGGCTGTCTTCATTTTTTGCTACCACTTCCAACTCCTTACTTTCCAAATATTTACACCCTGGTTTTGTGCTGGCCACCACCCCTCACCTGCTCTTTTCTGCTTCACCTTCTTTTAATCCTCCCAGATTTTGTGCCTCTGCATTTCCATGGCCTCCCCACCATGGATGACACTCCCCACATGGGAGAACTCCCATCACCAGGTTCCATTGCTAATGGGTGCAGTTAGAGATAACAGGATGACACATTTTACACCACCACATTGAACACAGCCACAGCGTTCCCCTGGTGCCACTGCAGATCCAGATGTCAGGGTGAACTGCAGCCTGAGCTTCATTAGGCTCTGGAATTTTCTCCCTGCCTTTTCCTTTCTGCCCCTCTCCTAGCTCAGCCCACCCTCACATGACAAGTATAAAGTCATGGAGCCCTCAGCACAATCTCACAAACTCTTATACAAGTAAACAGTTGGATTCCCATGGAGCTTCTCCAGGATAAGGTAAAGCATTGCAGGATTTGGAAAGTGGCCCCTTGCTGAGGCACCAAAGACACTTCTCCTCATAACTTTATTTTACATGTAAAGTGCTGTGCATTTCACATAGCAATACATTTATACACTCTTTGATCATTTATCTTTCTCCGGCCTCTGTAATTTTCAAGTTAACCACTTCATCCTTCACTACACACAGCCTCATTTAATTTCCTTATATCTGCAGAGCAGGAATTAGACAGGCCCAGAATAGATCAAACAGTGCTGAATTTGGGTCATTATCCACAAAGCATCCCAAGACAGTCTGCCTCAGCTGCCAGTCAAAGTTCACTTGCAATGCTTTACTCACACTAGAAAAGGAGGTAGGGAAGACTGGCAACCTTCATTAGATCAGAAATCTTAAAACTATTTAAAGCATGACCTCAAGAGCTTCTTCAAGGCTCACACATCTGAAAGCTCACCTCTCCTTTTTTCTCCCAAGAACATGGATTTATTATATTTTTTCCAACCAGACACTTTATCTACTATTCTAGAGAGTAGTACCTGAAAGCAGCAATTTTCCAGGGTCTCTTCACAGCAGCCATTTCCTCTAACTACCCAAACATGCTTAGATTTAATCAGACTGAACCTCATCACCTGGTTTAAATTAACTATGTGCTTAAGTACTCCAGTGCCCCAATGCCAGAATAGCTTATCTATACCTCTAAAAACAAACCCTCCCTCCTGTCTTTTTCTAAGTACAACTCTGGAACACTGAACACTAGCTTTAATCTGGTTTTGTTACCCATTCATTTTGCATATTTTGACTTATTTTCATTTTTAAATTAATACAGGATATTGTATCCTCCTGCTAAATCAGTTGTTGTGTCCCAGTTTCACTGCAAATCCAACAAACAGGAAACACAGAGTCCCTGCTTTGGTTTGCTAGAGATATTTACATATAGTCACTAAGGAAAGGTTATTTATTCCATCTGATTGATTTTTAAAATTTATCTGTAGCATAAAGAACTAAGGGGTTTTTTTTACATTTTGATTGGTGATTAGATCCTGAACCAAGCCACAATCTAAAAGAAACACTGATATTTAAGCATTAATAATTTAAAAGATAAATTGGAGGGCTTCTCTTATCTCCACTATCAATACATACAACAGCATTCCAGCATTCAGGCTTGCAACACAGAAAAGTAAGTCCTGGCAAGCAATAGCTCAGACATACTGTATTTATTGCAGTCATGGAGTCTATTATGGACATCTTTGTTTATCTCATCACAATTAAACATTCATGAAGAAATATTACAGAAAAAAGCATTTCTGGTCTCCTAGCTAATTAGCACAATTTAAGAGTACCCTGTAGTTCAGCTGCCCAGCCTCTCTCTCAAGGAAAGTGGGGATCTGAATCTAAATTACAAGTGCTCTCCTCCCCCTCATCTGTGCATTTTCAAAACCAGGATTTCAGTCCTGCTTACTAACCCATGTCTGACTGATCTGACCTAACAAAAAATGCAGACGTGCAGGAATAAACTTCTAAAGTGTATTTTACTTTACTTGCCTCGTAGAGAAGCACCAAATTTCCACAGAAATTTGATGTCATTTATGGATGTCATCACACATGGTCTGGATTCCAGCCTGTGACAATCACTGAAAAATAACTAAATGGACACATGCAAAACAATGAAAACTTGCTATTTGCAACAAAATCAGTGTTTTCAGAAAATCAAGGAATACTGACGGCAAGCACACAGTCTGTACCTCTCCATGCCCACATACATCCTTACACTGCTATTACAATATTCTAATAGATTGTTTCTCCATGCAAGGTTATAAAAGTGTGGTTTATTAGGGTACTGCAACCATAAACTTAGGATTGTTTCTCAGGCTGAATTTATATCTAGCCATCAAAATGCATTACTACATTCCAGTCACTTCTTTTTTTCCTTGCACATTAACATAATCATCCCCAACACTTCAAAGTAAGGGAAGTTATATCGAGCTGGCATTCAAACCTACAGCTCTGTCTTTTTTAATAAAGGCCCTCTTCTTATTTTCTAAGGGCATGATGCATATGTAGACAATCGCCAACGATGAAACCACAGCTACATTATAAACTACCTTATTAAAAATTAAGGATTGTAATTACATATTGAAACCAAGAAAATTATTGTTCCTTTTTCCATACTCTTGTGACCCTCAGACAAAGGCATATCCAAGAAAACTAATGTTTAATCAGCTCTCCAGAGTCAGCAATGGCTTGGGGTGAGAGCCGGGATGCTCCTGAACAGAAAATCCCGAACCTCACAGTTCATCTGTCACGGACAGGCAGCGACCCCACTGCTTAATTGTGTGTTTAATTGTGTGTTTAATTGTGTGTTTAATTGTTTAACTGTGCCTAAATCCCTCCAGGTGCCCACGCACCAGGTTTCCTTCTAGAAGCTCGCTGAATTCCCATAGTATCTGTGCACACATGATCTGGATTTCGGCCAGTGTAAAGTAACTAAAGGGGCACATGAAAGCCAGTGAAAAGCTGCAATTTCCAGCGAGACCGGTGTTTTCACAAAACCAAGCGGCGAGCCCGGAGAGCGCCACGCTGCCGAATTAACTTCTGATATGTTTTCATTTTAACCTTTAGAGATTGCACGAAGTAAATTACCCTCTTTAAAGAGAGAACTACTCTCATTACAAGAAGAGAACCCCAGGCACGGAGCGGGGAGCCGGGACATCCCCGCCCGTCCTGGCTGACCCTTAGGACAGCCGGGTCGGTCCCTCAGCGCTTCTCCCGCGGCTCGGGGAGGCCAAACCAGGACGGACAGACAGAAAATCCCCACAGAGAGGAAGCGAAGCCGTGCCCGCAGCCGCTGCCCAGCCCATGCCACCCGCGCCTCTGGGGCCAGCCCGGCCCGGCCCGCAGGATGGGCGGGCACAGAGCGGAGCCCCGGCCCGGCCCGGCCCCCGCCCGCCCCTCGGCGCCGGGAGGCGGAGCCGGGCGGGCGATCGCGGCCCGGCCGCTTCCTGGTCACCGGAGCAGGAGGCGACAGGAGCCCGCCGAGGCGGCTGCGGGGGTCCGGCTGCCGCCATGGCCTCGCTCTTCAAGAAGAAGACCGTGGACGGTGAGTGGGCGCCCGGGGAGGCCCCGCCGCGCCGCCGGCAGCGGCCGCCCCCAGCCCCCGCACGGCCCCGGGCGCGGGGCTGGTCCCGGCCGGGGCTCCGGGGCAGCGGGAGCCGGACGGAGATCGCGGCCTCGGCCCCGCGTCCCGGCGGAGCAGGAGCTCCGGGGAGCGGAGCAGGAGCGGAGCGGAGCGGGAGGCCCCGGCCCGGCCGCCGTGACTCACCGGCGGCGCTCAGGGAGAGCCGCCGGGCCGGGCCGGCCCTGGCACTGCGGGGAGGGGATTCCTGGCACTCCGGGAGGGGTGGGAGCCGGGCCCGGCCGTCCCGGGCCGTGGGTGAGGCAGGAGGAGGAGCACAAAACAGCGAGGGACACAGAACAGGCCCGGCAGGAGTTGCTGGGGCCCAGGGGAGCCGGGACGCGAGCGGTGCCGTGTGCGGGAGCCACGGCCAGGCTGCGGGAGCCGCCGCGCCCGGCCCTGGGCTCCGCGCCGCTGTGCGAACAACTTGGTTCTTTGTGGCCAGGCTGGTACCAAAACGCGTAAACTTCAACAAGAATAACCATCCTCAAATAAAGCCCCTCAAATAAATGACGGCTTAGCTGCCAGCAGGCCGCTGGGCGATGCTCGGCTCTCCACGATGGCGAGCCCCAGGTTTGGGTCTCGGTGTGTTGGGTGCCCCGTGTCAGAGCTGGTGGTGGGTCGGCGTTTGAAAAGGGCTCGCAGAAAATGACGCTGCACATCAACCAATTGTGTGTCACAGCAGGGAACACGCACAGCTCCCACCTGGCTCTTCCCATTTTGGATGCAGCACCTGAGAAGGGGAGCTGGCATTAAGCTGCCATGACCAAGGAAGGATTGCAGGAGCCAGGAAAAGCCCTGCTGGATGTCTCGTCCAGCCTGTTTTAAGGAATGCTTCCTCCTTGCCCTGGTGTGTGTGTGACGACACCGTGACACACAGGAGTGGCTGATGGCATAGGACTTATCTCTGAATAACCTGTCGCGTTCTGTCTGCTCTAGCAGCTGGGAATTTCCTCGGTTATCAGAAACAAACAAGAACCAAGTTCTCATCTTGGCCTTCACTTCTAAAAACAAATTAAACAGTCTGTAACTGCAGATAGCTGTTTCCAGTTTATTGCCATCCTTAGTTTAAGCCACTGTGGGAGATCAGAAACTACAGAAATAAATAAGCATTGCACTTATCCTTATTGTCTCCTAAATACTATTCTAAGTATTATTTGCTGTCACCTTGAAGTTCCCACCTCTCCAGCTTACTATACTAAGGATTTTTTTTAAACTAGTGTATTTAGGAAAGCCAGTCTTGTATGTAGCTATTAAGCTTTTTCTTTCAATTTCACCAAGTGCAGCTGTGCAAGTAATATACATTTATCTACCTTCAAAATTACTTGCCTGTAGCATTTTCAGAACGATTTTCTCTGCTGTTTTGCCAGTGTGAGGAATGCAGTTATATCCCATGTCATCTTTTAGTTCTTAGTTACTGTCTACTGAAAAGTCTGCATCTCCCAAGGATGTAGTACTCACAGCAGTAGTAGCATTGTAAAAACAGGTGTCATTTCCACACTGGGTTTTTTTAATATATATTTCTTTGCCCAAGAACTGGGTAATCTCCAGCAAGATTACAAGAGGAAATGTATATTCTGTCTTTAAAATGCCACTAAAGGTTTGGGATTTTTTTCTGATTAAAACCTATTAATGTTGACATAATTCCACCAATAGATGTTTTACAGTATGTCTGGTTTTAGGAATGAAGAATGCTAATGCTTCTTGCTGTTTGTAGAAAAATTGCCTCAAACCTTAAAAAATGAGAAGGTGGCCTGTGATTCCAGCATTTATCCGTGGTGAGCTCTAAAGAAAGTTCATGTGACAGTCTGCTCCTTTCACACTCCCACCCAAAGTGCAGATACAGGAGTAGCTGAATCTCTCTCCCATAACAACTGCTTCCCTCAGCTGAGGCCAGAGGATGCTGAGTCACATACCCTGGTGAATCACACCCAAGCACGTGCTGTAAATCCTATCAAAAGTTAGCTGCAGCTGGCATGATTGATGCCTAGACTGTAAATAATACTTGCTTTAATAAGAGGATGTTATCAGTATACAATTTTTAATAGCACAGTGCACACAACTCCTGTAAGTTTCACTTGACAGCGTTCAAGCTTTGCTTGCTATGTCAGTGGTCAGTAAACTGAAATTTGTTGTAAAGGCCTCCACTTTCCTACCTTACTATTGTTAAGCATCTCCTCATTGAAAAGTTGCTTTATAGACTGACTTGAATAAGGGCTGCACAAATGTGGAGGAGAAGAAGGTCCCCCAGAGCAGAGTAAGGACAGAGAAGAGCAGGATCCAGGACCTGCACCTGGGATTATTGTCACTGTTTTATGGAGCTCCTCACCTGATCTGAGAGCTCATAACTCAACTCATAACTCTTCAGCTGCCCTACCTGTTGCAGTCAGGCCTGGCTGAGGGAATTGCAGTGACCTAGATATTGCTGAGTTAGTGCTGGAAAATTGTGTACAGGTGTCTTACTGTGGGGTTAAGGCTCTTGTTGTGGTTATGGTGCAAAGTAACATCCTAGGTAAAGGTAAAACAGCTTTGTTTTCAACAGGATATAGCCCACACTGCTGACACAATGATGTTGTATACACCAAATTGTATTTTGCTAATATTTTCTGAATCTGAAATGTTGACACTTCACTCTGCATGTCTGCAGGGTGCTTAGCAGATGTTCATGGAATATTGAAAAACTTTGCCCAGCTATCAATGTTTTCTTTCCAGATATAATAAAGGAGCAAAATCGAGAGTTAAGAGGTACACAGAGGGCTATAAGCAGAGATAGAGCAGCACTTGAAAAACAGGAGAAACAACTGGTAAGTATGACAGGGAACTTGATTTTGCTCTTTAAAACACACACATGCAATAAAAAACTTGCAAGATTTTAAAGATACCAGTCAATGTATAATAATGAAATATTAAAAACTGTTGTCTTCCCCTTTTCATTTCTCAGCTAAAATCGTGTTGGAAAATATTTATTGCCTAAAAGTGATTCTCAGCCTTTGACATAGGAAAATCCTGAAACAATGTGTTTAGATAAAATAACCACATTGGGTTTTCCCTACAATTCCCAGCATTCTCTGTCCTTCAGAAGGGTTTTTTTTTTTTAAAGGTTTGTAAATCATCAGTCTTGTGGAAAAATTAAAAGTAGAAGTGCTATCATGTGTTACCATGACTGTCCAGTGGGAGAGAGTACTTGGAAAACCACAGGATATCATGAGTACCCCTAGAGCTGTTCTTTTCATTCAGACAGAACTTCCCTAAAATTAGCTGATAATAGTAGCACTGTCTGCCTAAATTAAGATGTATTCAGGACTTACTGTGTGTGTGAGCTTTCAAGCGCTCAGTGGCTGAATGCTGCACCTGTGTGGCACTCAAAGAGGAGAAATGGATGTGCCAGATGGTGGGGTTTGATGCATGGAGAATGCTCACACTGTGGGAAAAGCTGTGCAAATCCAGCCTGTTCCAGCAGCTATTGAGGTGGTGGTTTGTGGCAGCAGGTTGCATGAATACCAAGAGCTGGGAATAATAAACTCAAAGATCAGATAAACTGTTTCTGAAAGACTTGGACATGTAAAATATAGTAGGTTGCTCATAAATAAGGCATTTTTTCCAGTATGAAATATTCCAAATGTGGAAATAAGTTTAATTTTAGTGACTATTCAGGCTGAAGTGTTGATTACTTACCACACTAAGTGGTTTCAGAAATGTTGGATTTCTGAGGAGAAAAAAGGAGCACTGAAATATGTCTTTGAAAAAGTTAAAAATTGCTGCTGGAATGAGAGTAGCAATGCACAATAAATATTAATTTTCAGTGTCAGATCAGGTGAAGAAGGATCAGGGGCTTATCAGTCAATCACAAAACATTTCATTATGAGCTTTCTCTAGAAAGACCTTTTTTTTTTCCCCTTAATTTTAAGGTACTACTCTGAGAAAACCAGTTATGCAGTTATATTATTTCTACAGCTAAAAATACCTTAATATATGCAGACAGTTCTGTTTCAGTTCAGTAACCTGATATAACTGTACAAATTTTGATCTTTTTTCCCAGAAGAACAGGACTGACTTCAATAAGCTTGCCCCAGACCTCTCAAAAGCAGATAATGTACACCAAATTGACCCAAATTTTTTTTAATTAGGAATAAAATAATCTGTTTAATTGATAGGGTTTGATTTCTGCAGGTGGATTATCTGCAGTGATTTACCAATGGTTTGTATTTTGCTTTGAAAAAATCAGGTTATAAAATCTATGCAGGTCTTTCAGCTTACTGAGAAAATCCCTATTTTCAAACATTTGCTGTTAAAATCTGGGGTGCACACTAATCCCCCTAACCTTCACAATACTTTAGATACAAAAAAAAAAAAAAAAAGGGAAATAATATTCTGGTGATGTTATAGGAATTTTTGTGGCTTCTGTGAACTACTTTCAAAGAGCACAGCTTTACTTCTATTTCAGGCCTCTAAGGTTTGAACAGCCTCATGCTGCTTCACTGCCACTCTGTACCTTCCTGGATTAAAAATAGTGTGTATGACACACCCTTTAGAAATTGTGAATCTGCAGAGGGGATTTTGTGCCAGAGCCATGTCTGGAATAAACTTAACTGTGAACTTTTCTGGGCCAGTTTACATCTGCCTTTAAAGGTGACTGTTCTGCATGTCCTGGCGACTAGAATTTATCTTTTCATAGCTTCTTATAAGTGCAGTTTTCTGGATTACCAGTGCACATAAAGTGAAGCATCTGCATACCTGTGGCAGGCATATTATCCTGAAAAATCCAGGGGAAAGCTGGTCTTGAAAAGCTTCTTTTCCTTAATGGTACAAATCAAAATGGACATCTGCAGAAAACTGAGCCACTGTGGCAAGACCTGCTTAAAAAGGCTGTAAAGGAAAAAGTTGTTGCAATTTTTACATTACCAAGTCACAAATCAGAAGGCACACTTTGAAGAGTCCCAGCTGACAAGATTATTGGTGCCAGGCTTTTTCCTGGTACCTCTGGGCTAAACAGATTGTTATTTCTCTTTGAATTGACAGATTGGGGTTTGGTTTTCCAAGACAGAAGTGTCTTTCTTACAGCACAAGCATATGTTAAATTATGCTATTTTCATTATGATTTAAGTCCAGTTAAATTTTAAGAGTGAAGAGCCTATAATTATTGATCATCTAATGTTATTGGTCATCTAATTAACATCATTATTGATCATCTAACTTTATCTACTCCTTCCCCAAAGAGGCTGTGAGGTTCTCTTGAGGCTGAAAAAGACTTGAAAAGAACTCTCAATTTCTTACATGAGTGATGTTGTTTGATTGCAAGAAATCAAACATGATTAGAGTCATGGCACCAGTAGGTGACTGTACATTATAATTCCTTCACGTTTTAGGGCTTTTTTGAAGTGTGGCTGCTTATCCAGATTTGGAATTGAATGTGCACACAGAAGTGAATGTGACATCATGCAGAAATTGAAGTCTTTGGGGGAACTGTGTTCTACCACACTATAGTTCAGTCTCATTGAGTTTTTTCCTTGTGGTCAAATCATACCAGCATGACATTGATTCTGCTAAACAGCCTTGTTAAAAAAGCAAGGAGCTATTTATATAAATTAAATGTCTTAAAAGATTCAAGAGGATAGTTAATTTTTAATTTAATTATTAGCGGCAAGGCTTAATTATAGTCTGTGCGCGAATGGAAATTCTGTGGAGTTAATCTCACCCCTTTTTTCACAGGAACTGGAAATCAAGAAAATGGCTAAGACTGGCAACAAAGAGGCCTGCAAAGTGCTGGCAAAGCAGCTGGTGCAGCTGCGGAAGCAGAAGAACAGAACTTATGCTGTGAGCTCCAAAGTCACCTCCATGTCCACCCAAACCAAGGTCATGAACTCCCAGATGAAGATGGCAGGAGCTATGTCAGCCACAGCAAAAGTAAGGCACCACAAGATATTCTGTTCTATATTCACATGCAGCATATGGTTGCAAAAATTCTGTTATTTTGGGTAATTTTTGGTAATTGCAGTACTAAAACTCACTTGGGTTTATATTGTTACATTTTTGTTTGGTCAATCTATCCATATAACACATACATACTTTCTTGGGCTAGGCATCTGTCAAATGTTTACATGACAAAAATAAACTAATGCCAGTGAATGAACTCTTTTAGTACATAAAAAAACCCCAAACCCTGCTGCTACAGTGCCTTGCCTGTATTTATTGTCACAAGCAGTTTTTACTGGGAAAAAGTAGGGCATGATTTGTCTAGAAATCAAGGCACTGTGTCACAATAGCTTTATGGCTTTTGAAGAAAGTAGGTTATTGCTTTGGATCTAAAATTCCTAAAAAAATCTAATCTGGAGTTTGCTGTCATTCTCTCTGTGCTCTCTCAGGAAAGAGTATTGCATTAAGTTTCCTCCCAAATCTCATCTCATGAAGGAGTGAAAAATCTCAATTTTCCGAGTTAGGTGTGAACTTTCCCTTATTTCCCTGAATTAACAAAGAGGGATTTGGCTTTTGACAAGGAGCACTGTTCAGCTCAAGGTGCAGGAAGCAGAATTATTGTGCATCACTGTAGGCCAAGCTGGGCTTTGATCCCAGTCCAAGTTAAATCCAGTTAAACCCAGCAATGCAACTCGGTGCAGAAAGGAATTACCACGAAGGCTTGGTGGTCAGGTGCCCTTCAGACACAGCATGAGGGCAGGTTCCAGCCAGCCACTGACACAGAGCTGTGGCTCTGCAGCAAATTTACACATGGGACTTGTCTGACTGATCAGGTTCAGCACCTTGCTCTGTATTCTTACAACAGCACTCGTGAACAAGTTAGTCCTGCTTTTTAATTATTACATGGGTGACTTGTTTTTATCTGTGATAGATCTTAGATTAAACTTCTCAAAACTAAAGTCACTGGAGTAGTTAGGAAGATTAGGTCAGTAGGAAAAAAAAATCTAAAAATAGTTTTAAACAGCAGGCAATTATATGTACTATTTGTCTAACATTATTGGAGAAAAGGTCTTAAATTCTTTTGATCACTTTTAAAGTGAGTATTTTGCTTTATCAATGTGGGAAGCTTAAACTATTGTTAATCTCATAAAACCATCAGTGAAGAATGTGTGGGACCAGTTGCCTTAACAAGCAAGGCAAATACATGAATGCAAAGCTTTCAAGTATGTATACTTTCAGTATACTTCTTAGCATATGTTTTGCTAATTTTGAACTGGTAATAATGTCCAGTTAAGTTGCCTGTTTATTTTATTCATACATCTGACCCTTATTTTCTGAAGATCTGTAAACTCTCTATCAGTGCAGATATTTTTGACATCCATTTATACCAACACCTTCCAAGTCCAGAACAACTTCTTAAATTCAAATAATGCAACCATGAGTACTGTCTTGGAAATTCAACTTTAGTATCATAGAACATTATCACCCTGAAGAAACTCAGACATGAAGGCAGAAGCCCTTCTGTGAAGCCTGTAGTGGTTTCATACCATCTTTTTTAATTAACCAAGTCTTTTATCTTCTCAAAGATGGTTAAATTTTACATTTGAATTGCTTATATCTGTATTTAGAATCTGATATCCCACAGTAACTTGCTTTTTAGGAAAGAGGGAAGTACCCCATAGCAGTGCCCACAAAGGCAGTAAAATGGGTCAAGTTTATTTCACTGTCACAAAAAGATCTCCACCCATCACACAGGTGCACCCTAAACAAGTACTTCCTCAACACTTGGATATTTTCTTTCCAGAGAAAAGTAATTTTTCCATTAAATTGTAGCATCAAGAAACAATTTAAGGCCTGTCCTCCAGTGGTTGTTCAAATAAATTCTCCTTTCTGAATAAGAACCTGCAGCCATTTATTTCTTTAATGTGTGTAGCCTTCAAGTTAGGAAATGTTCTCCATTCTTTTCATTGAGATCAGTTGGATTTTTCCTAATACAAGGCAGGGGAGGGTCATGGTGCCAGAAAGATGCACACATTTAAGAGTCTGTCTATTAGGACACTAAATAGCAATATTTCTTACTAAGTGCAGGCTGTACTATTGATACTTATCTAATGTTCTTATGGGATGTAGAGAGACAAGGAAAGTAAAATTTGGATTAAAGCATTTTTCTTAATGAATGCACTGATATTTACTAATGTCTCATTGTATGATTTAAGAGTTTTTTCCATATTAATAGACAATGCAAGCAGTTAATAAGAAAATGGACCCACAAAAGACACTACAAACTATGCAGAATTTCCAGAAGGAAAACATGAAGATGGACATGACTGAAGAGATGAGTAAGTTCTGCACTGCAGGGGACAGCTGGTTGCTCTTGGCAGTTTGAAATTTATTTCTATAGTCAATGTGACTGACAGCAAAAACCTACAGCAAACAAAACAATGTATGTCTGAGTAGGAAAGCTGAGCCTTAGACTTCTTAGAAGCTCTAGGTATTAAATCTAGAATCCATTCCTTCCCATCTTCTGCAAAAGATTCATCATATTTTTAGAAGGAACATTCTGGGGGCAAAGAAGGTTTGAGACCCATTCAAGGCCTTGATGGCATAACTGGTAGAAAGACTTGAAATTTTGTCTTAATTTAGATACTGATAATCTCAGCTTTCTGCACATGGTGGTATGATATGGTTCTGTCTCATTTTTCTTAAATTAAGCCACAAAAAACTTTTTGGGGAGGCAGCAAGTTCCTTGTTTCCTGCATGTATGTGCTCACTGTCAGCTAATTCCTGGTGTTGGTCAGAGTCTTCTCCCCATCCCAATCCCTGCCCTGTTGGTCACATTAAGTAGCATGGACTCAAACCAAGATGGAAACACCTCAACTGCACACAAGTTACCTGAGTAGTTAACAACTTTGCAATGTACTTGGAGGAAGAGGAGAGGAAAGGGATTTTTATGAAACTATCAGTGTTCTGCAGATATGTTTAAATCTAATGCAGGGGGATATAAGCAGCTGAACTCTTTAGGTGGGACTGAACATTTTTATTAAAAAATCCAGCCTTGCCTTACCCTGTTGTTGCCCTGGCTGTGCTCACAGGCTTTGCAAGGCAGAGCTAAGGAAGCCTCTCTCACACCCAGGTGCCTTCTGCTGGCATCTCACACCGTGCTATTACTGCTGTGTTCTGGGAGGGAAAGATGATACTAGGTCATGTTAGTCACCTTTTTGCTTAGTGCAATCTGCATTTTTTTTTTCTTTCTTCTAAGTTAATGATACTCTGGATGACATTTTTGATGCTTCTGATGAAGAGGAAGAAACCCAAGATATTGTTAACCAAGTGCTTGACGAGATCGGGATTGAGATTTCTGGCAAGGTATGGCTGTTGTTGTTTCCCCCTGCATTCCATTTTTGAAACACAGTTTATTCTAGAAGTCAGCCTCATAACCTGATTGTTGTGGCTGAACCTGTGTGTCCTTGCAGATGGCCAAAGCTCCCTCAGCTGCCCGTGGTTTGCCCTCGGCGTCGGCCTCGAGCGCCGCCACCATCTCGGACGAGGAGATCGAGCGGCAGCTCAAAGCCCTGGGCGTGGATTAACCGAGCCAGCTCAGAGTCTGCTGCGGGGCCCAGCCCTACACACACGTGCACAGTGCAAAGACTCTTTCAATGCAACTCATTTCTAGCAGAACCCTGAAGTCTCAGAAATGCCGACTTGAAGATGAATTCGCGGAGAGAAGTACTTCTTTTTTTATCCATCGCATGGAGCCTTTTTGACTCAGGGGTGTAGTTCTAACAATGAATTCACTTACACCCAATCCAGAGCTGTCCTTTGGATTCCAAGTTTTCTTCCATCTCTGTTCCTGATCTGTCTCTAGAACTGGCTATTCAGTGGCGGCTCATGCCACTTCCTAGGACAGCACCTCTGTAATATTTATCATTTTTACAAAACTATCATTAGAGAAACATTTAGTCTGCCATCTCTTAGCACAAATGAAACTTCACCTTGGCTCTTAGTTGGGAACTTTTTTTTTCCATGAGAAATAGCTTTGAATGTCTAGCTAATTTAGGCAGAAAGAAAAAGCATTTTATGTATTTCTTCAAAATTCCTTTTAAGCTGATGAAAAAATAGCTTGTTATTCTTCTTACCAGAAGGGAAGGATACACTCCTTGTGCAGTTAATTTTTCTTCTGGAAGAGGAGTTACATGTGTTAGTGAAATTTGTTGCATGAAAGGCACTGATTGAACTCTATTGTACTGTAACATAGCTGGTTTCAACAGAATTGCTGTGCCTTTATGTATATAAATCTTGTACCTTTGTGATTTTCTTTCAGAAGGAGTCTTGGAAAGGTGAGTAAACTTAATAATTAAGATGGTTTTACACAGTGCTTGGGTGAGACCTCTCTGTACACCTGATGGGACTCAGTGCTGAAGTGGAGAGATGCACTCATTCAGAAATGCAGTTCGTGCACTTGAAAAAAGGACATTTGCCTGAAGCAACATTTGTATATATTTTACAGTACTTCTTAATGGAAGATAACTGCATAATTGTATTGTTTGCTAAGATGCAACTGATCACATTGATAAACTAAATCTAAATATTAGTTTTGAGAACAATTTTGGATCATAAATGATAACTACTTGTCTAAACACTATAATAAAAGCATTCTGGTTTCTGTGAAGGTTTTTCTATGGTCTCTGAACTGCATCAACACAATTCTAGCTTTAAGTGGAGTATGCATTGTGCTAAGGAATAAGAACTGTTGATACTGGATATAGGCAAAATGAGAATGCAGTTCCCAGCTGTTACTTTGTGGATGGTGTGATATTCCTCAGCCCCGACTCTGCTGGAGATATTTACCCCTCAGTGCTGATTTAGTGGTGCTGCTCATTGAACAGAAACAGCAATCATCTTGGCTTTAAAAGAGAAAATCAAAATACCTCCCAAAAGCAAAACAAGAAAACTGGAGGGGAACAAACCTCATAAAGAGACTTTGCTGCTAGGCCAAGTGCAGCAGGAAACCTCAGTGAATCTGCTGCTGTTGCACCATCTACTGTTTAGGACTGAAGTCAGCAAAGAGAACTCACAGGAGAGCCTTCCTCAGGTTTTAGGCCTAGAATTGCAGGTGTTCTTTCTCTTTAAAAGAAATAATGCAAAACTGAATCTGTCAGGTAGTGGGTAGTAATGTGTAAGTTAATATATTGCATATATACAATATGGGGTGATTTTTTTTTTACAAGTTATTTTGTAAAAATCTAATAAAAGGCTTTTTATCCCACAATGGCTTTGTCCTCTGTAGGGTTACTCTTACACATCTGTCTCTTAACTGGGCTTTCTTTGTGAGCTCTGATAAATACTCCTTTGACTTGCTTTGGTAAAGCACAATCATATTTATTGTAGTTGCTCGTGGACCTTTGATTTAATATTCAGTAAAGACTTGTTCAAGTTTGCATTCCCTTGTCTGGAACCTCATGCCCAAGTACTGCTCTGTGGTATTGAAAGAGAAATCATAATATAAACACAAGGATAAAATGTTAGTGATTTTTTGTAGTTTGGTTGAACACCAAGGCTTGTGTCCTTTCTGAATGAGGTGTGCAGTTGATTTTTAATAACTGTCAAAATTGGGCTTAATTCCATAATGAGTTTTTTCCTCTGGGTTTTTGAGGAACAGGAAGAAAGGTATTGCTTTTTTGGTGCCATTATAACTGCTGAACTAGGGCTGGTGTCAGTATCAATCCTGTGGTTTGTTACAAGTTACCTTTTCAATCCTGCAGCTCTAACCTGTGTAAAAATCTTTGGGTAGCAGAGTGGGAAGTGCTGTATGTTTGCAGGCTTGTTATGTGTCTGCAGTTATGGTCAGTATGTTGATCAGGCTAAAAAAATTGCACACCCTGCTTAGATAGAAATTCCTTTTAAATCACATTGAGTGATAAAAGAAACCCAGTGAAACCACTCAATCCTTACCCTCCTTTATCCTTGCCAACACCTAAATAGGAGCTGGATCTGAGTCTCCATCTGGGAGCAATGACACAGTTGTGCCCACACCTAAAAATGGCTCTACCCAGAGCCCTACTCCTCAAGTGCCCAGAAGCAATTCCCAGGGAAGCAATGAGAACACAATGAGCATCAATGATGCTTCCTCCCTTCATACTCTTCCAATCTCTGTTTCAAAAATAAGGTTCATCCAGAGCCCTGTGCAAGTTCTACACACACCAGCTCTAAGTGGCTTTCTCAGCTGAGAACTCCTACATACAAAGGAACTTCTGGCACCCATGTTTTTTTCCACTGATATTTTTTCCCCAAGCATGTTAAAAAACACCACTTTGTTTTGTTTTAAGCTTCTTTCCATCTTCCTCTATTTACTCCCTAGTTCTTATATTATGTACAGCGTGCCTCCATCAGCTTTTTAGTACAGTCCATAACTGAGCAGACTATTGCTAAGATGCAACTGATCACATTGATAAACTAACTTTAAATATTAGTTTTGAGAACAATTTTGGATCATAAATGATAACTACTTGTCTAAGCACTATAATAAAAGCATTCAATGCTCACACATTAAATCTAGAAGAGAGTAACTTAAGTTATTCACCTTACCTTTGCTCAGCAGCTTGGCCTGTGCTTGGTCAGTTGTGTCCCTCACACGAGGGCATCACAGTTCTTCAGGGACAGCTAAACCTAAGATTTAAACATTGTGGTAACACCTTGTTTTGCCCTCTAGTGTGGTTTTTAACACACTAAAGTTACCATGGGAAAAGAAAAGCAAGGAAAAAACACACAAATATCTCAAAAACAGCCCAGCTTGACTGAATGGCCAACCAAACTGCAAGTTCATAGAGCTGCTCCTTGAAAATCCTGCCTTATATGCAGGTTGGGTCCTCCCCCCACCCTAACCAAGAGTAATTGTTGGTAATTAAGTTGTTCCTAGAGAAAAAAACAAAATGAATTGCCACTTTCTCTAAGTAAAGCACCAGCTGCAGCCATTGAAATTGATTTCATCTAGCTTTTCTTCTTTAAATAATCCTAATTTGTTTGTATTTCTGTGGCAGTAGGTAGGTGTGTTTAAATGGTGGTTACTTCCCCCAGTTGACCTTTTGTCATTTCTTTGCAAGACAATTTTGTTATGTGTCACCTTTAATTTTATTTTATCCTGTTGCTGCAATTAGCTGTCACTTGTGAGACTTTTTGAGTGGCAAGAGACCACCATGTTACTGTGAGGCTGCTCTGGAACTATCTGTTAGAGCATTCTAAAATACATTTCAGCATGACACACAGCTAAAAAAGAATGAAGTGTTACCAAAAGAGAGATGCAAACCATTGCCTGGAGTGCCAAAAGTATAGGAATACTTTATTGGATGAGGAGGTTGGGAAGTACAGGCTGATAGCATTTCTAGGAAACCTTTTATAATTAAGAAAATAATTTAGAATATAAATAAAGTTCTATATATACCAGATAGTGATTTCAACACACATAACATTTGACCACATCACATGAAAGACACACCAATGCATGCCACCACCTTTGCTGAGTGCTGATCCTCTCAGCTGAACTTTTTTTGTGAAGTTCATGACCTGCTGGTAACCTGTGGTGGATAAAAGTGTGCACCTTGGTCTCTGCTATAGCAATGAGCTGTGCTAGCGATGAAAGCTGCCTGAAGGGAGTACACAGCCACAGTTTGTCCCCTTTGAGTTATTAAATTGAAGTTTTCTTCTCAGTTAAGGGCTTAGAGTGGTGCATTCATCCATAAAAATGTGGATTTTTAGAAATCCAGGAGCCTGATTTCCATTGGTGAATATGCTTACGGTCACTGTAATAAGTATCAGAGATAATTTAATGTGCACTGGAGAGTGAGCACTTAACTTGTACATGCTGCTTCTAAGTGGTCTTGAACATTAAACTCCTCTGGCTTTCTGTGGGCCTATTATAGAGACATTTTCTAAATCATCAGGTTTGTTTTATGGAAAAATAAAATGCATCTGGCCAGGACTACTTGCGTGTACTACTTACTTAATTTCAGTCCTGGGAAAACAGTCAAAATACTTATATGGTAATGGGCTAATTCCCATAACAATGAGCAGGGCTGATGAGATGGCTGGATAATCTATCCCTGGTGAGTACTACAGTCATTAATTCAGTTTTCTCAGTGCCTCCCTGATAGGTGGAGCTCTGGCACTGGTATTTTTTTCCCCTCGATTATCTCTAGGCAGGAGGATGACAAATAAGGGATTATTTTCAATTAGTGGGGTGTAATAGAGAGGGAACGTGCAGTGCAATAAATTCTTATTTTGTGTACTTTTTTAGCTTAACACACCACCTCTGGTGTAAGTATGTCCACACATGGTTTTAATCAGAAGAAAGTACAATGCAGAGAAAGACCAAAGTAATAAAACCCTTTTTCTTCCCCTCAGGCCACAAAGTCCTGAGGTCAGATAAACTGTATTCCTGTTTTTATAGCTAAGCCTACCCAAAACAAACTTTGAGGCACATAACAAATTAGCAAGAATTACCCTTGATAACAAGCATTATCCAAGCCACTTCTGCTTTACAAATGTTGGGCTGAGACACAGCATGCAGTAGGAGCAGTGTGACACCTCTGTCCTGGTGAGCTCACAGTGCCTTAATTAATGACAGCAAAATCCTTCCCATGCTACAGCTGCTGGTAGCATGGAGGAGGAATGAGGGGTTTACTGATTGTTCTCTTTTTCAACAACACAGTATTTACAATATTTACAAAAAGCAAAAGAGAAATCCACACGTGTACGTGGAAAAGCTTCACCGGCATTCGTGGTGCTCCTTGATAATAGAACTGAAGGCATTCTGGTGTAGACTGGTCTTCACTCTTTTTTCCCTTTGTCTTCTGTTGCAAAACCAAACTCTCACGACTTCCTTCTCAAGATTGAGCCCCTCAGCCATCCTCATGATTTCCTGAGAAGATGGCTTACTTTGTTCTCCGAAGTGCCTCTCTAGGGCTTCCTTGGCAGCGATGCTGGATAAAGAGGGAAAATTTCACCTTTAAAAACTTTTCTGTACATTCAGGCTTTCACCATTAGTTCAAGAGAAAGATCAAGTAACAACACTGAAGGCAGTAACTTGGTTTGTTTAATCTTTCTTCACATAAAGGGAACCCAAAGCACTAAAAATACTCTGTAGCTCTCTGCTGACACAAGCAGAGTGACATCGTACAGAATTTTGGCATGGGGTGATTAAAAGGCAAAAATGGCATCAAGCTCAGTGCAATTTCAGTCTCAATTATAAAATATTTGTGCTTCTTGATATTATCTAGGAGACACAGCTACTAACTAGTTATGAGTGGGGTCAAAGGAATTAGAACAAGCCTGACCACCCTTCTGCTCCAGCAAATGCACATCAGTGGTGTTCCCTGGTTGTATCAAATCATTTGGGTTTACAGAGAGGAAGAGCTTCATCACTTAGATTTGGGACACACTGTGTGTTTTGCATCTCACTAATTATAGAGACAGCACTAGAGTATTCCTAGAAATCACAGAGATTATGGCCAGCTGTTTTAGCCATCATCACATTCTCCAAATGTCTGCCCTCATCTGTTCCTCAGTCTGCAGTGATCAAAAGTGAGTGGTTTACTAAACAGAATAATTTAATACTGTTATTTTTTCTTATTTCCAGATAGAATTTTCTTCCAATTTCTGTTACATACTCTGAAAAACCACATATGTGGCATGCTTGTGTGCCACTGGGAGGCATCCAGAAGTTTCAGCAGTAGCTGTAATTTCTTTGGACACGAGAGGGCACTTCATGCATTATTCTGGAAGTGAGGTGCAGGTATTTGCTACAGAAATACAGTATCTGCTCCAGTTCTAGTTAGTTCATCTCTTGGTCTTTCGTTTATGGGTCAGTTTTTCAACATTTACTAATGTTTAACAAAACTGGCTAATTAATAGCATGGTGCACATACAGAAGTATAGAAACATTACTTTTGACTAACAACTTCTTAGGTTTTGAGCGAAGTATGAAATATAATACTTTGGAATTAATTGGGATCTGGAGGGTTATGCTGTTTGATTTTTTTTAACTAGAATATTTCCAAATATTGGAACTTTTAGAAGTCCAGGATATAGATATTCATTAATAGAAAAGAGCACTTCAATTTTGACAGAAGAAAAAGAAGCATCTTAGCCAAAATTGTTTCTTACCTGTAATAACCTAAATATTTATTACCTTATGGTGGTTCTGCGCTTCCTCTTCCGTTCATTCACCCCAACTTTTTCATTGTACAAAGCTGTATTAAAAAAAGAAGAAGCAGCCAAACAACAAAAGCTGGCAGTTACATTCCACAGGACTGGAAAACAAAAAATAGTCACTTTCTTTGAAGGAAGAAGAAAGCACAAGAGAAAGTGCTGCTGAACAAGAGGAGCATCACACACAGGAGCCTTCCATTGTTAGGACGGCTGGTCATTGTTTTACCTCCAATCATAAATGGTTATAGGCAGAAATTAGCAGAAGCAAAAGGCCTTTGCTTGTGAAAAATCCCTGTACACTGCTAAATGATCCTGCTCTGGCTCTCTACAGGACTGGAACTGGTTTTCTGGGATGGGAATGGAAGGAATTTCTTCCGGCAGCCCAAGAGATATTTCTGCTATTCTGTTTCAGTTTTCCATGCATTTCAGTTTTCTCCTCCATGCTCATCCAAAAAAAAAAAAAGGACAGCTATACTTTAACACAAGCACACCTCAGCAGTTAAAGCTGGTAAAACAAAATCTTTAGTCCGCAGAATACACATAACAGCCCTAAAATATTTACATGGGATTCTTCTTGAAGTGCAAATCAATATTTAGAGGGTTTCAGCTCCCTACCTCCCACTTGTTCTGCTTCCTCCAGCCACTTGGACAGGATGGATTTCAGTTTGCAGGCGTTCTTGAAGCTCAGCTGCAAGTTCTCAAAGCGGCAAATCGTCGTCTGGCTGAACTCGGAGCCGTGCACAGCAGCCAGGGCCTCCCCAACATTGGTTTGGGTATAACCTGCCAGAAACAAAGAGGAAAAAGCAGCTTTGAAGCTTCCTAGGGCGGTTACTTTCCTTGAGATGCTCAGCCCTTCACTGCTGGCTCTCGTGGTCAGTGTGTGCTGCAGTGCCTGCAGGCTGAGCGCCCTGCAGAGGCCTCTGTGGCCAGCTGAGCCCACTCAGAGCCTGCTCGCTGTCCTGGTGGTTCCTGTGCAGTGTGACACTGACTTAGTGGAGTTTCACACTCCAGGTTAGGGATTTGAGAAGGTTACAAACACACCATGTCTTTCTGTAGATGGTGCAAGAGCAATAATCCCTGGAGGCACTGCTGGTATCCTGTTATTTGTTGAAACATCCAAGCTGAAGTCATCAGAGAAATGCTGCTCTTTCCTTGCAGACACTGACTTTGCACCAACAGCTCCCTGCTCATTTCTCTGAATGTGGATCTGCCATGGCTGAGGGACTGGATCATCATCCTCCTTTTCTGCTCTGGTGCCAGGACAAGGCAGGATCTCTATAGGTACTCAGTGTCCCATGAGGCACATTTTAACCTCCTTTTTGACTGCACTAACCCTGTGTCTCTCAGACCCACAACCTTTTTTGTCTTGTAAAGCTCAAACTCAGATTATTTTTCCTGTCCATATTGCATTTCTCCCATTCCACAGGCTCCATGTAATTTGCTTGCACCAAAGAAAGTTTTGTTACCTCAAAAATTCCAGATGAAGATGCAGTGATTGACTATGTGTGGCCTGGCAAACACTTTCCATTGCTGTGGCTGACATCAAATAAAGGATATGCAGGAAAATTGGCCAGTTTGCTATAATTTTTTAAACCCTAATTTCTTTTATTTCAGTTTAGACTGCAAATGGAACACACTGGCTTTCTAGCTGTTGAGATAGTGCACAGATACCCCATATAACCTTATAATTTTATATAATTATTATTTTATATAACCTTATAATCTTTTAGGTTTATAAAGGATACCCTATAATTCTGATGCAATGTTATAAGTGATAACGTCAAGAACAACAGGGTAAAGCCCACCTTTGTCCTCGGCAGATATTCCACAGCAACAAAGATATCAATTGCTTTCCAACAGTGTCATGGCACAAAAAAATAAACCAGGAAGAGAAGCTTCTTACTGGTGTGAAGGATTTCCCATGGATGTCACTCAGTGTATACTGAAATGACAGCAGACCATCAGATTAAACAGTCCATGGGGAAAAGAATGGGTATGGGAGGTTAGATGGTTATGAGGGTGAGAGGAATAGTGGATTTGTCTTTCCAAATGAGCTGTGGGTCTGCTGGTAGATAAAACCAGCACTGGGAGATAAAAGAAATAATGGGAAGGATTCCACTGATTGATGAAATGGAAAAAGATATTTGCTTTTACAAATAAACTTTAGGTTTGCTGATAAATGAAATTAAATACTGAAAAATGAAAGAAACAATGGAGAAGAAAAACCCCTAAATTCCATAAGAATTAAAAATTAAAAGGGAGGGTTATACACTAGAGGGAAATCTTTGGTATCAGGCATTCTGGAAAGTATGTACCTCTCAAGTACTTCAGCCAATGGGGAAAGAGGGAAGGGAAATGCAGCAGGGAAATTGAGATAAAAAGGAGGCTGTGTCCTCCAAAAACTGGAGAGATCCCAGAAGAATGCCCCATGGCCTCTCCCTTTATTCAAATAAAGTAAAAGGACTCCTCTGTCTCCTTTTTGGACATAAACCTCTGGTGTTTGTGGATTAATTCCCCTGACAAGGGCTACCTGCCCTAAGTTGCAGATAATTTGGAGCTCTGCAAAATATTGCACCTGGCACTAAATGCAATTTATTGAACATAAAAAAAATTATCTGCATTTAACACAAATAATTTAAGGGCAAGAAAGTTTACAGTCCCTTTCTGCAAAATAAAAGTTCATTAATTCCATGGAAGTCTTCTAGGAATGGAGGAGGTTTTTCAGGGCAAGGCAGGATTAGAGTTATGATGAGACAACAGCAGAGGCCAGGCCATACAACACTCAAAAACAATTGGGCTTTCACTGGACTCTTCCAGCCTTTTGTTCGTGGACATGAAGCACATACCCAGCTTGATTCTCCGCAGCTTGAACTCGTTGGCGAATTTCTCCAGCTCCCTGATCTCGGGGGAGTCCATGTCCACGGGCTCCTCGGCGGGCTTGCTCTTCCTGCGGAACTCCTGCTTGAACTCCGCGGGCTCCTCCGTGAGCAGGGGCTGGGGCAGGGCCGCGAAGCCGTGGCCCAGGGCACAGGAGCTGGCACCCAGCGCGTGCTCCGGGAACTTGTACAGGCAGGGCGTCAGGCCACCTGGGAACGCCAAAGAGAGAGCTCACGGCACCGCTTCTCTGCTGCTGCCCTGTAAACACCTCCCCTCACTGCCTCCTCATCCCTGCCTGCAGTTTTAATTCTATAATACACATTGGAGAATCCAGGAGTTAGAGTTCCCTAGGATGTGTTTTCTCTTTTTCGTCCCAAAATGCCAAAGAGAAAACTCATTGCACTGGCTCTCTGCTGCTGCACTGTAAAAACCTCCCCTTGTCACCTCCTCATCCCTGCCTGCAATTTTTATTATATAATACACATGGGAGAATCCAGGAGTTAGAGTTTCCTAGGATGTGTTTTCTCCTTTTTGACCCAGCACATGGAAGTCTATCAACAGCCCCTTTCACCAGCCACAGCCATCCTATCACTTAGCAAACCGTGAAACACTTAAATAAGAGGCAAATGGTCTACACTTACACAAAAATCCATGTTCTAAGCTGGACTTGAGTGGCACAACAAGATTGATGGATCTGTCATTTCGGGTCACTTAAAATTTGCCAGTCTTAAGTGGCCCAACGAGAGCCATGAATCTGTGTCATCTTGAGTCGCTTAAAATTTGCCAGTCTCTCTTTTCTGGTATAAGAATACTTCCATGTAGATGCCATTTGAAGCTCAGACAAGATACCATCTTGGCTTAGCAGGGAAACCTATCAACAGCCCCTTTCACTGACCACAGCCATCCTACTACTTAGCAAACCATGAAGCACTTAAATAAGAGGCAAATGGTCTGAACTTACACAAATAAAAATCCATGCTCTAAGCTGAACTTAAGTGGCACAACAAGAGTGATGGATGTGTCATTTTGAGTCACTTAAAATTTGCCAGTCTCTCTTTTCTGGCACAAAGAATACTTCCATGTAGATGCCATTTGATGGTCAGACACGATACTATCTTGGCTTAGCTGCAGCACAGAATTTCTTTGAGGAAAGTACACAGGTAAGAGCTCAAAGAAAAAAAAGAACAACAAAAAAACTAGAACTCATTCAGAATGATCCTTCGAAAAAGAAATTGCTCCAGGATAAAACAGAACTATTTTCCACCACCTTTTGTTCCCAAATGTCAGACTTAACAAGGAGATGCAGTTAAGAGTGAGGGCTGATTTTTCCCTAGATATTGTACATAGAGATAAAAAGTCTCTGACCTGAGGGAGGCATGGGGGGAATTATTGGAGAAATATTAATACTCCTCAGTGTATCTGGAGCAGCCAGTAAATTCCAGGTTCTCAGGTCATCTTTCCCAATTTTCTAAATACACAAAACTGTGTAGAAGAACTCAGAATTTCATTAACCTCTCACTGCTGCCTCCATTTATTAGAGCTAGGTTTTTCTTCACTGCCCCAATTACTCCCATCAACGCTGGAGATTCTAACCCCATTGAGCTATTTAATACACTCCACACAGGATAACCACAAAAAAACCCCCCAAAAATAATGAAAAATGCTTTAAAAGAGAGGGACTTGCTTTGCAAGGTGCTGACACCATTTACCACATTGGGGTGAGGCATGCTGCAGGTCTGCAAGATACGAGTCTGGGAGAGACTTGCTGAGAGCATCTCTGGAGTTGCAGACTTGATGCCTAAGAAAATAAAGTAAGGAAAGACAAAAATAAGAAAATAAAGGAGAAGAATAAGAATATATTTTTTTGGAATTAATGAAAACTCATTTCTGAGCAATATAATTTATTATTACTTATTAACTTTCCCCAGAGGCCTGGACAATGCCAGGAATCTTTTTAAAAGACACAGAAATGCACGATGAAATACAAGAATATGGAAATTTGCATACCATGAAGGAAGCCTACACTCTGTCCCTATTAGTCCATGCTGATTTACTCTAGCATTTCCTTAATTCTTAAATAAAATAAAATTGAGTTTGATTTTGGATTATTTCCAAGTCCTAGTTATTTCCTGGGAGTTACATTAACTTGGTTCATGTCATTATCTCATTGACTGCTACTTAAACTCGCACAGAGCAAAAGTGCCTCACTCTTACTGAGCCTGGGACAGGGAAGAATGAGCAGGATGAGTGTAAAAATCCATGATCACATGGCTGATCTGCCTGCTGCATTCACCTATCCCTTCATTATGCCATCATTTTATTTTATAGCTTCAGCCAAGGCTGTATCAGTCCAGGTACTGGTCACACGCAGGTGTGCTGGGTATGTCACTTCTGGCCCTTCAAAAAGTGATAATCACCAGCAGAAATGGCCAGAGGTGAGCAAAATGAGCAGGATTTTCCCAGCTTTGTAGGGAGACATAAGATACAGAGTGATTTCACAACAGATGCAGAGGTTTGGGGAGCTCTGGGCACTAATTTCCAAACCCTTTTTCTAGCGCCTCAATCCAAATCCCATCTTCTTCAAACAATTGTGTTGGATTGATCCCTCTAAAGAACAACTGGCTAAGACCCACACTCTGACAGCTCACCCAGCTGAGGTTTGGAGCCCCTTACCTGCCATCACCCCGTAGGTCGAAGGCTGATTCCCATAGTGACAGGAGGGCACGGAGTAGTGCAGGCCTGGCCAAGGGCGTCCCGGCGTCGTCGCGGCAAAGCCAATGCACGAACACGCACGAGTTGGGAGCAAAGAGAAAACAGGTGGGACTCGTAAGAACTCAAGGTTCGAGACACAGCCTTGAAGTGTGAGGCAGGCAGTGCCTTCTGTGCAGTTGTAGCATCTTCTGTGAGTGTTTAACACAGGGTCACAGCCATCAGGTTAACAGGGAGAACTGCCACTAGAAATAGCGGGACATCCTCTGAGGCAGGAGTAGGAATTGTCATGCTGTCCCTTGATGAGTTGGTTTTGGTATAAACTATGGGCATAACCCAGTTTGCACAAAGTGCTGAGCAGGGGAAGCATTGCACTCTTAAGGAGGAGACCTGTTCCTCTCCTCACTCAACTTCCCCACGCTGATTCATTCAATCTCACACAAAAACTAATTCTAGGGTCCCAGGAACCCTATAATGCCTTCACTCTCAAGCAAACCCCACAGCAAACGAAGGCCTGGGCTTCCAAAGGCAGCAGTTTGGGACATCTGCTTTGATGCGTCCAAAGATCACAATTTCTTGAGTGCCAAGCAACAAAAAGCATTTCAGAGTGCTTTGGTGAGATAGAGAAACACGATGGTAAATTCTGGATTTTTCTGGTCATGCCTAAATAAACATTTTCCATCACCAGCGCCAACAAACACACTGTTAGTTTATCTCTTGTGTTTTCACAGAGGTATTTCAGGTCTGTGCCCAGTAATAGCCAGTGCCTGAAGAATGAGACCATTTTTTGCTGAATGCAATCTAGAGAGAGATATGGCTGTTCCTCATGTACAAGTAGGAATAAAAATGCATGTACTGCCCCCTCTAACAACTGCAATAAAACAGAATATTAAATATTAATGTTTATGAACATTCAGATATGTAAGACCACATTTGGAAAAACACATTCCTGTTGTTCAAAACAGTCTATTTAATTAGGGATTAGAATATTTGGGTTTTAGAACAGTAATCATAACAGTAAAGTGTCCTGTTTAAATATACTTGCGTAGATATAAAAATCTACTAAGACAAACAGTCTTATATTAATGTAGATGCAGTGAAAATAAAGATTGTGTTAATAACTGTAATGCATGTAGAGCAATTCAACTTTGCTGTTAAGATCTGATTTTTACTGGTTGCATTTTCCACTATTTCATAATCCACTTACTATAAATTTTATGCATGAACATACAATTTTTGACCTGCTAATCATGATTTAAAATTAAATAGTGAGGATGATGCTATTTAAATGAAATAATAGCAGTTACAGTGTTGAGGATACTGCAGAATATCAGCTGAATGACACAGCATAGTATTTGAACAGAAGTATTTTCATCTTTCTTGTGATGAAGACTTGTTACATCCATTTTTAAACTTTTGACATTTCAAATAAGTTGTTATTCAAAATTCTTTCACCATTATGTTGTACACAAATTCTTCTCATGTGCGCTCAAAGTGGCACTTTTTATGACGGTTCCTTAACCTATGTATGAAATTTGTAAATCTTGACTCATTATAGCTACCACCCTCTGTTTCTGCTTTCCCAGGGTGGTTTTTTCACAGGATCATCTTCTGGATGTGGTTCAACAATCAAAATTTCCACTGACTGCAGTGGCATTTGTCCTTGGGTGGCAGATACAAAATATCAAAACCTGAACCTGTGGCAGGTGAGCATCTGCTCTGGGCCAGCCCTCATCGTGTCCTTTCCATTACAAGTCAGGTGAATCTGGAAAATACTGCTGTCATACAGATACATAAATTTGACCTCATACAAAATTTATATTCTCCTATTCCCTGCCACTATTGCTAACCCACAGCTGTATTGGGATATTTTGAGCCTTTTGCTTAATGTATAAGATGATCCTGTTTTCTCTTACCAATAATCAATTTTCACTACATACATGCTTTTTCTTTTCATTAAAATGCTTTATTACCAATGCTTTTCAGGAAAAATCTACTTTCTTGTTAAGATTCCAAATAAAATTCTAATATTAATGCAATTTCAAATAAATCAACTATTTCTTTTTCTTTCCCTGAAGGCTTTCTATAAACAATTCCTGTATTCCACAATCCCAACTCTGCAGTATTAACACTACAAGAAAACACTCTTTGGCTCAGATATTTTGTGATTAAATAGTCCTAATATTTAAATGCATCTAATTGGATTGTATACACGAATATGCAAGGTTCAAAAATAATGACAAGGTTTCTACTAACCATTTTGAACATCACACTTAAACCTTAGTGTTGATCCAGTCTGAAATATGCCTTGCAAAGCAATGTTTTTCCTTGTTTAAAACTCCCCCAAGCTATATTTACACTTGTGGCCTTTTAAATGTATTTCCTATTTAAGGCAATTTATAATGTTTTAAATTATGGTTACATAATAAACAACCTTTCAATTATTTTACATGACACTTGTCAATGAAGACTGTAGTAATACCAAAACCAGTGTTGGAACCTGTTCTAAGTTGGCAGCATATTTGAGTCCAATCTTGTCACAAACTTAAAGAAAATTACATATTTAGCTAAAACATTTGTGCTTTTCCTGATCCACCCATATGCAGGGTTTCGTGAAATTGCTTCTACTTTGGCATAGCCCCAATCATACATAACACTGACACTGAACACTTTAAACACTGAGAACTCAATGAACTCATCTATCATCCAAAAAATTACAAATGAGAGCAAGAGTATTTTCAAAAAGTACCTGTAGACACAACATTGGTGGTGTGGTTGGAGACCTGCAGGCACTCTGCAGCGCTGTGGTGCATTATCAGAGGCAGGGAGGGAGAAGAGTCAGAATTCAAGGGCACAAAGGTGTCTGAGGAAGCAAATGCTTGGCAGCTCATACCCTCCCAGAGGCGAGAGAGCTGCCTGTCCCCTGTTCTACCAGAGCAGATCCTGCAGGACTGATGGCACCTCAAGCTCTGTTCCAGGATTTCACCTGGATATAGACTCAGAGGAGGGCTCCAGAGCACAGGGAGGTCGTGTGCAGGTATTTATACCACTAGGAAATCCCTTTATCCATTTTAATGTTCTTTTCCCAGCAATATTGCTAGCCTGGTACAGAGCCTCCTTCCTTCCCACACAAACACAATACGTGTCCAATTAATGGAGGGGCGGGGGAAGAAGAGGGAAACCAGAGACATGATTTGACAGATATTTTCAATTAGGTCTTTTGTGGAGGACAACGACCAGAAAAAAAAATTAAAGTATCGTCTCCAAAGGCGGTGGCAACAGACAAGTGAGTTTAATACCAAGTAGGTTTCCACAGTTAACACCTGCTTCCAAAATCTCATCCAGGCAATTGTCTGCAAGGCAACCTGTCTGAAAGCTCAAACAGAAGTCTGCAACAGTCAAGAACCTATAGCAAAATAATCTGAATTAACCTAATTCCCAGCAGTTGCACAGTGATCATTTGTCTTGACCTATACCAGTATAAATCAGAGATGTGTAATATGAAACAGCTGTAGCCATAAGGAACTTTTTGAACAGATAGCTTTCCATAAGCATGATGTGCTAAATGTTTATCTAAATGTTTATCTAAGATAAGCTCTTGACAGAGTCCATGGTGTCCCTTAACACTAATTCAAAGTTCCTCTTATTGGTTTATACTACTGCAGCATCTGAAGTCTTCTACTCAAGATCATAAGGAAAATCAAGATCCTTACTCAAAGAAGAAAAGTGGTTTTTTGACATGAGACTGGAATAATTTTGGAACATGATAGAAAGCATACAGGTTACCCTAAAAGTTATGAAATTTCTGCAGTACACCATAGTCACATATTCTACGTAGATGCAATAAAGGTGGGCTTGGTTTGGTTTTGTTACCTAAGATGATGTGAAGATGACAATATATTTTGTGGGTTTCATATTCCAAACTGGGTTAAATGTCCAAACTAGAATTTTGACAACACCAACTTCAGATACATGTGATAGGAGCAATCATACTTGTCATAGCACCATTTTTCATGTGTTTCTGCAGAAAAGTGGCATTGCTTCGAGCCATTCTGCAGAATCCTTTAAGTGGGTCTTGGGAAAGGCTGTGACTAAGATTCTGAAGAAATTTCAGAATTCCTGCATATTGCAAACTGCACATGTGTGTCATCAAATGAACCCCCCACCTGCATTACTTTGGGCTTGGCTCAAGGTATCCTAATTTCTGTGAATTCATATTCAAAAATTATTTTAGCTATTTTCACCTCCTTTTTTCCCTCAGCAAGGGCATGATAGATCTAACAGGGGGTCCCCTCCACATACCAGAGTTTTGAAGCCACGAGAGAAAAAGAATAACTTTACATCCCTGTCTTTGACATTTTTTTCCTCAAATCCCAACAGGTGTCACTGTAGACAGTGATTCAGTAAACAGCAAATTTACAATTTCACTGGAAACTCATGTCTAGATGCAAAGAAGATGCAGCCTGTCCCCAAGTACAGGATGGAGCTCATTCCAGATTTCCCTTTCCAGCCCAGGTCAGGAGAAGCTTACCCAGCTTTGCCCAGGTGCTCAGGCTTTCCAGAGCTATGGAGTTCATTAGAGGGGTTGTGGGTTCATGGACGTTTCTCACCCACAAAACCCAGAACTGATTTGGATTGGGAAAGTAAACTCAGTCAGGAGTGACAAGGCACTGAGCTTTCCTTCAGAGTGCAGTATAAAGGTGTTCTGTGACAGCATTCCAGACACCACCTCAAATGAGTTTTTTCATGCCCATTATTGTGTTTTATAATGCTGAATAAAAAAACATTCTAATTTTGCATGTTTATGCTATATCGCCCACTTCTTGCTAATAACCCACTCTTGCTAATATCAAAATTTTTCATTTTGATTATGACTGAGTTTCTTTAGTTGCATTCAGTTTCAAATGAAGGGTTTTTTGCATTATTTTTGAGGATCCTGGAAAGCTGGATTGTTACCAATACCAGGTATTGGAAAAAATTCACATTCAGCAGAGCTCATTTCTAATACAAGTAGTACTTCTCATAAAGCTTTGTTACCAGCCTCCACAGATACTGTGCTAAGGCTGCAGATTGCCTGACCCAAAGTTACCCTATATTCTGATTTCTTGGTCAGTTTTAAATCTCTGCTTCACAGCACACAGTTCATCTGGAGGCTTCTGGCAGGAATTTCAGGCCACTAACTAAAGAGGTAATTCCTTCTCTGCACTTACAAGTGCTCTCTGTTCAGAAGTTCAGAAAGGGAGTTTTCTGCCCTTAAACCCAGACCCCACTCTCCATTTGGAAGGTGCCATGATGCTGGTAAATGTCACACAACCCCATCTGCTTCCTGCTGAATCCTCAGTTAAACTGGCCTTCTGGGGGGCAATTACTTCTATAAGGATGATGGGGGGAAATGAAGATTTATTGGATAATTCTGAGCTTACCTTAATGTCTTTCCTTAGGTTGAACTCCAATCCTTATTCCATGTCAGTAGACTGATTCTTTGCCCCATAAATCTCTTCTGATTGAATCCCAAAATAATGAAGAAAGCCATCAAAACCCACTGAGGGTTTTTAAGACAGCATGAAACTGTCTGTTTTAGAGGCAAAAAGATCCCTTCATGTGGTTTTCTTTGCTCAGAAATAGCATGCCAATGTAAGATCTCAGGTGCCAATGTAAGATCTCAGGTCTGGAAAGGGAAACACCATAATTTTCCTCCACAGGAGCACAGCATTTCTGTTCCCAAGAGATCATTCCATGCTGGTCAACAACATGGATTTCCAGCCTCACCTTTGCCAAGAACCACAAAATTACAAAGAAAATCTGGCACAGTGCAAGTCTCGGCAGCATCTTTGATTCATTCATTCCTTTTCCCAGGTCTCCAAGCCCTTTCGTAGATAAATTGAAACTATAAGACTTGTACAAATAAAGAGCTTGCAGAGGTGGGAGTCTCAACAAATCTAATCACTATGACAGTCCTGCAGCTGAAATATATCCCACTGAAAGAGTCACTCACACATTCACACTCTGCAGAGGAGTGTATGTCTGTCTGTCTATCTATCCTAATAATGGCTCTTTGGGAAGTGTGCTTCATTTTTGCCTTCACTGCACATGGAGAGGGTGATCTTCAGCTCTATAACACTGCAATTTGCATCCTGCCACCCCATATACTTTTGTACAATGTACTCATGTGTAAATATTTGTGTCACATTTCATTTCATTTCATTCAGAATACTGAAATTCCCAGGTTTTAACTCTATAATTTCACGGCTATTTTTCACTGGGTTGGGTAAAAACTATAAAACTGCTCTAGAGATCTGCATATTTCTGCACTTCTACCCAATTCTTCCCCTTGTTTTTCCTGTGCAGAAAGTCCTTGAAGTGCAATAATTATGCTCATGTCATTGAAATGTCCACAAGGGAAAGGGGGTTTACTTCCCACACTGTAAATTAAAAAGACATCTCTAAGTGCATAACAGTGTGCACGGGGAAAAAAAATCAATCTTTTTTCTTAGGTAAGACACAAACTGACTCACAAACTGTCAGTGTATGCCATGGATAGTTTCATTCAGGAGGGAGGGTGGATTAAACATTTTCAAGGAAGACACTTTCCCAGGGAGCAGCACAATGCAATTTGCTTTTTATAAACCTATAGAAAGCTTATCCAGTCTTGCTGCCAAAGTCTGGCTCACTGGAGTCTGAGTGAAACGCATGTGCAATTGCATTAGAGCAAACAAAAGCCTTAAAGCCTGATTTAGGCCGAGTGGGACTACTTGATAAAGACCAGAAAGAATGCAAGATTAGTTGTTTCTCTGAGCCACCTGTCCTTAACTTTAGATCACCTCTGCAGAAAAGAGCCTCCTGAACGTGCAGCACAGACATGATCTGTTATCTGCAGGGAAAGGTGCTGTTCCCACGGCTCTCAAACAACAACCTCAGCCAGGGCAGCAGCTCCCAGCAGAAAATATTATTAAATTTATCTATAAGTGCTACAACCTGAAATAACAGATACAAATTCCACTGCTCTTCTTCATGCTCTGTCAGACTGATGGTCCTCAAAATGATTCACATTGCAAATATACTGGTGGAGACCCTGGCACCTAATGGAAGTGATCCAAGCTCATTCCAGTTTTATTCCAGTGAAAAACACGGTAGGATCATAACTGCAAACAATTATGATCAGACAGGGGACCTATACCAGGAATGAGTTAAGTATGTGGGAAAAAAAATCAACTTGCACTCAACAACTTTAAAGCATTTACAAAATATTGCTACTGACCATGATTTCACATTTGTTAAAGGCCAGGTTTAAAACTCACATCTATTGCAATTGACTCATATTCAGTTTTTTCAGGACAACATAACTTAAGTAGCAAAAGTCTTTTTCCCCATGGTTTCCTTTGGAAAATCAGACCTTTTCCACAGAGAGAACCAAATTTCTATACCCAGTTATAAATTTAAAGCCACATAATGCTATTTCTAGAAACCTAGAGTTTTCAGGGACCTAGAGTTTCAGTGCTTTTATATTCTTCTCCAAATGCCTTTCTTCTATTTTTCTTATGTCATTTCAGAAAGGGGATCTGTAGCCCCAGGAAGTTTTCATCATGCTACAGTAGCCAAACCATTAATTCTTTCCCAGTTTTGCTTTTCAAGGCACAAGACAAACATTGTTTCCACAAAGCTTTTGTAAATAATCCTGTACAAATGCAGTGCAAGTGTTACTTTGAGTCTTGCACATGCACTTTAAAGGTCCTTCCACATAACATAAAATGGAGCAAAATATGCATCCTCTACTTCTAAGTTTATACTTTCATTAGCAGAACACTTGTTCCTTAAGTGCTGTTAATCAACAAGTCTTGTTTATTTAAAAAGTAAAAGATGTTCAAGTAAACAAGAGGAATTTACCATTTCC